TAGTCTCCTGTGATGACAGAAATACCCAGTTACATCTCTCTTTTAGACTGTTGTAGAATGGGACTGTCCTTGGGGTTGGGGAGAGAATGAGTAAGATGGGTTCAATAATGTATACTGCACTGAAACAGAGGAGGGAGAGAACCGTCTTCACCGTAGTCTCTAGACTGACATCTTTGTAACTTAGCACTCTGGAGAGATCTCTGACAGCAGACTTTCCTGATTGACACATTTCAACAAACAAATGCAGCCCTGGATGTGCTCACCAAGTTGTGCCAGGAAATATGGAGGACAGCCATCTGGCCATCTGACTGGAAGAGATCCATATTTATTCCCATTCCAAAATAGGGTTCTCTGACAGAGTGTGGAAATTACCAAACAATATCACATGCAAGCAAAATCTTGCTGAAAATTATCCAAAACCAAATGGAACAGTACATCAATAGGGAGCTGCCAAAAGTACAGGATGGGTTTAGAAGAGGCTGTGGCACTAGGGACATCACTGACAATGTCAGATGGATCTTGGCTGAAAGTAGAGAGTACCTGAGAAGAATATCTATCAGTGTTTCATTAACTATACAAAGACATTTGACTGTGTGGATCATGATAAATTGTGACTAAATTTGAGAAGAATGAGAATCCCAGAATACCTGATTATGCTCATGTAAAACTTATACTTGAGCCAGGAGGCAATCATCAGAGCAGAGCAAGGAAACACTGCATGGTTCAAAATTGGGAAAGAAGTGCATCAAGGATGTATTCTGTCTCCATACCTTTTCACTCTATATATGGAATAGATAATTCAGTAGGCTGGACTTTATGGGGAGGACATCAGGTTTGGAGAAGACTCATCAACAGCTTGCATTATGCAGATGACCTTCCTTACTGAAACTGAGGAGGACCTGAAATATCTGCGACAGAAAGTCAAGGACTGCATTGAAGCTCAACATCAAGAAAACAAAGATTCTCACTATTGAGCCAGTTGGAAGCACCATGATAGAAGGAGAAGAGATTGAGGTTGTTAACAATTTCAGCTTGTTCAGCTCCACAGTCAATACTCTTGCAGCCAGCAGTCAGAAAATCAAAAGATAAATTAGATTTTTTTTTTACTAGTAATGTGATTTTTAAAATTGTTTTGAATACAATTATTCATATACATTGTACTTTGTATAACATTGTTTGTATATACACTGTGTTTTATATAATTAATTACTGTTGATCAATGCCTATTATCATCCTGCCTTTTCAGGTCCCATTGAATCTTTCCTTTTCCTTCACCTTCCCCAACTCTGCCCAAACAGAAGGATGAAGACATCAGAAAGACTGTCAAGTGACTATGGAAAATATTTTAATTTTCCTCGTTCTCACTTTCCTGATCCCTTAAATAAGAGACCTAATTGTTTGTTGTTGTTGTTATGTGCCGTCGAGTCGTTTGCGACTCATAGTGACCCTATGTACAACAGCCCTAAACCCTGCTCTATCCTGTGCCAATCGCACTGCCTCTGACACACCCATCCCGATTACCCCAGTCACTGAATCAATCCATCTCATAGAGGGTCTTCCCCTCTTGCGCCATCCCTCCACCCTCCCAAGCAAGATGTCCCACTCCAAGGACCTGTCCTTCCTTACAACATGCCCGAAGTATGCCAGACGAAGCCCCAGAATCCTTGCCTCCAAGGAGTTGCTTGGTTTAATCCTCTCCAGGATGAATCTGTTTGTTTTCTTGGCAGTCCATGGTACATTCAATACTCTTCTCCAGCATCACAGCTCAAAGGCATCAATTCTTCTTCTGTCCTCCCTAGTCATTGTCCAACTCTCTGATGTATAACAAGTGATTGCAAAGACCATGGCCTATATCAGGCACACCT